CTCTCTCTCTCTAAATCTCACTTTCAGAACTGTATCAGTTCATTTCTCAGAATGGCCAAGAAGATGCACAAGACGGTACTGCAGAGTCGAAGCTGTTCTTCCCTCATCACAAACAAGCACCACTCACTCTCAACAGGTATCATTCAACACTTTACATGTACACATACATGTTCATATACAATTAACTTGTGTGTTGATTAATTTTGCAGGAGAAGTTCTGCAACTATGCGTGTGTAGAACGGGTTTCTCTCAAGCAAATAAAGATAATGTCAAGAAAGCTGCCAAGCAACTCAGGGCTTGCCTCTCTTGGAGACACACTATAGCATCGGTATCTATATATATGTATATATATATTCTTCTCCTCTCTCAGATTCTCTCTCTGCAAACTTTATTTTTGTTTTTAAAACAGAGTATCTGATGGCGGATGAGTTCGCGTCTGAAATCGCCGACGGCTTAGCGTATGTGGCCGGTCACGACGATGAATCCAGACCTGTAATGGTAATTTCACTTTTTCTTCTTCTTCTTCTTCTTTCTTCTGCGGATTTGGTGATTTGAAAAATGAGATTTGGCTGCATCTGCAGATTTTCCGGATGAAGCAGGACTACCGTAAGTCACGTTCTCAGAAACTGTAAGTTTCACTGCGATCCCATTTTCCCGCTTGCCAAACAGGAAATTTCACACTCCAAGAAATTAATTACCGAACAAACTTTGGTTTGATTTTTACTTTTGGGAACTTCGAAGGTTCATTCGTTTGTTGGTGTTCACATTGGAGGTGGCCATTTCAACGATGAACAGAAACGTAAATCAATTCGTCATCTTGTTCGATGCAAGTAAGTGCCTTCATTTCATATATATCATATGACTTCGCTGACTTCGGAAAAGCCATGAGGACAAAAAATAACTTAAATATTTGGATATAAATTTTAAATGTATAAATAAAATTCACAAGGATTATGGTCCTTTAGTGACAATATTTTTTTCTGCAAAAATATTAAAATATGTTTTTTGCACTTGAAGCGTAAATTATTAAAAACTCATAAATAATTTTGACAGATAGAAAAAAGGAAGGGGTATTATTATGTTTTAAAAACATATTGTCAACATAAGACATGTCTAAATATTTGAGCCTTTTACAACTGTGAACCATGGCCAGTTTGGTGATTTACCATGTGACTTTTGGGACATTATTGAGATCAGACAGAGAAGAACAGTGAAGATCTCACAGTGAGGGAGGGAGAGAGGGAGGGGAACAGTCTCTGAGTGAGTTTCAGATATTGTCCGGTGTGCCCTTCGAGGGTCACGTCTAGGAGGGGATAGGCAGCCTGGTTTTGGAGGGTATTATCGGGAATTGGAGTATTTTCATTTGACATTCCGTTCAGAAATTGGTCCATTCATTTTCAATTCCTTTTTCCTTTGTTTTGCTTTGTTAGAAACTATGCCATTTGATTCTCCAGCACTAGCTGCTTCTTTTTAGCTTTTCCCAGTCCTCATCCTGATCATAATTCTGTACTTCAGCTCACTCAGTTGAATTTTTTTCCCCTGAGAATTCTGATTCTATCAGAATCACAGTTTCACGTGCTCATTCATTCCACCTTCGTTATTATTTATTAAGTCGGTACATGCATGTGAAAAAGTTTGAGCAATTAATATTTTTTAATTTTAATCCTTATTTTTTATTATTATCTAAATGTTTAAACAATAATTTATTATGATTATTAAGAATTAACAATATAACTAAAATTTTGTTAAGTTTATCTTATATTGAGTACAGGAAAGAGTAAATACTCTTTTTTTATGAAGTGTGAGTAATTATTGTTTAGTGTTAAGTGAACAGCATATTGCTGGCAAAACAAAAAACAAAAAAAAAATGAAACACGAATTTGGAAGTTTATACTTTCTGAAAAAAAATTAGGTTTATTCATTGTTTTTTCAATAATTTGCCCAAAAAATATCTTACAAATAGTAAAAAATGTGGGTGAAAGGGAACGGTAAAAATTTACAACAATTATTTTACAAAAAGAAAAAGAGTTAGTAGAAATCAGTTTGCGAAAGAACTAATGCAAGATTAGTGAAATGTTTGGGGCAGGTTTTTACAGGTCAGCATCAGGTTTTATGAACGTATTGGTGGGGGCACTGAAAATTGTGGGAGACTATTATCCTGGTCGGCTACACAAGGCCTTCGTAATAGATCCCCCTTCACTGTTTTCTTGTCTGTGGAAGGTATTATTTCAAATCCCCAAACAATGCCTTATTTTGGTACTCTCTTAAGCCCAGTTCCATTGATGTTTCATATTCAATTTGGTAGTAAATCCATTATATTATAGTAAGCTGCAGAAATGAATCAAATCTCTTAATGATTTTTTTAAACTATTCAAAATGTATTAAAATGGATTTTCACTATACATTAAACTAACTATAAAAAACATATTGTTCCCCCCAAAGTTCAATCCGATTTGGTTTTAAATATAAGGTTTTATGTTCTCTTATCTCACATTAATTTTTTTAACCTTGATATCCCTATTTATTAGTTACTTTTTATTTTTGTGTATTAAATTTTAATCATTAATTGATGGGTTATTTTTGAAATTGTCATAATTTTTTACACATTAATTGCAAATAATCAATTTACTTCTTTTTTTCTAAAAAAATATGGATTGGTTAAGAGGACGCTATATTTAGGACTGAAGGGAGTATAATATTTATAATTTATAAATACTATTAAATATTCTAAAAAAATATTCCCGAAAAATTCTTAATTCCTTAAAAGTGATCTGTAATAAATAAATAGATATATTGATATATGAAGTTATTGTTTTAATAAGTGATAGATTTGTCCAATGTCCTTGTAATAAATTAAATTATTTCATGGGTTTTTTTTATTTATATTAACTATAAATTTTACAATTCATATTAATTATGTCATATGTAAAAGGTTAGCTTTGAATTTAAAAAAATCTGATTATAGTGCTCATGTGCATGCTATGTCACTTTTTTGACCATCAACAAAGGACCGCTTTCCCACTGTTGACTTCTCATCTTATTCCCATAACAGCTTGTTGGTGAGGTCCCCACAAAATCCTATCCCAAGTACATATGAAAATCCTTTGTTTATTTTTTTGTTTCGATTCTTCTTCATATCTTACCATAAAAAAAAAAAATCTTTACCTGATAATTTCATATTAAGTTAATGATTATGTAAATAATTATTAATTAGTAATTAATTTCGTATATTGTGGGTGCAGGGTGTTCGACCGTTCATTGAGCTTTCAACGGTCACGATGATGGTATCGTCGTTGGACTTTGAAGAAACACTTGACATAAACGACATCGTATCATGTCCCCGAGCGTCATCTCTGCGATTTAGTCCGTCGGTAGCTAAGTCAACGGCTAGGGTTGGCTCGTGCTCATCCTCACGATTTGCCTTTACAGTGTCCCATAATTCGCTCCAGCCTTGGTACCTCAGCCTATCTGACACGTCAGCCTCCAAGGTGGGACCCACAGGCCCCTCACCTAGGCATGTGGGCCCCTCACTCATCTCCCCGCTCAATGCTCGATCCTATTCATTCGCATCGCCTATTGCTCGTGGCTACCCACGTGGAGATATCAACGACGGAGGATTGATAAGACGAAACACATTGTCGTCTACTCCCATGCCACAACGCGTTACAGATAGAGAGGCTACCAAGAGGCCCCACTCTTTCTTCCAGTCACCAGCCATTTTCTTTCGAAGAGATTGCCATGTTCGCGGAAACGACAAGTCTCGAGATGAATTCTTGCCGTTTTTAAAGTTTTATAGAAGGCCGTACAATGAGATGATTTACAGGTCAAAGATGAGGCCCCCACTAGGTGGCCTCATCTCGATTGTGTCCCCACAATTAAGAAGGTGTCATGTTTCGGTGTCTCGGCGTTTATGAGTACAAAGAAATGTAACTATTTGGTATCGTAGTATTATTACATTAATGTAAAATTAATCTTTGTATGCTTGAAATTTTGACCCACTGAACCCCCGATTCTTTAATTATGACTCGATGTAATTTAATAGTTGAAGTTTTAACTCACGCATAAGTTACTCCCTAAACTTTCTCCATATTGCTATGACCCTCGACCTCCAAACCTTGTGTCCATATTCTCCATATTCAAACAAAGGAATCTGCAAATGGGGGCATGAGAGGAAGTGAAGACTATGTATGCCGCTGCTTTGGTTGTCTCAGAGCTTTTGACGCCTTCCAAGGCCCTTCTCCTTTGGGCTACTTTCACGCATGCGTGCGTCAATTTTGTCAGATTTCTCTCTGCAAAATGCATCTGTTTCTCTCTCTCTCTCTCTCTCTCTCTCTCTGTATGCCATATATAATATGAGCATCGCCGGTCGTTTTTCACTGGTCAATCAACATGGATATTTGTTCATAATGACATTCTGATTTAATTTCCAGCACCTTCTGACAGCAGCATATTTGAGGTGTCTGAATTCTTTACTGATATACTCCTTCCGTTTTTATATATATAAAAAAACACTACATCACATGATTTAAAAAAATTAATTAATTATAATAATTATATTTGAAAATAAAAAATTAAACTAAAATACTCAGTGTTAATCATCAAAAATATGTATTAATTGCTTCTTGTTAGTATGAATTATAAAAGGTAATTTAAAAAATATGTAATAAATATTTATTAAAATATATAATTTTGCTTATAATATAAAATAAATTAAAAATAATAGTTTTTCTCATAAATAAAAATTGAGGGAGTATATGGTTGGAAAAATGACGTATGCTGTTAAAGTTGTTATTCCTATCATAACTCATGCATGCAAAGGCTATTTCAAATTGAATCTACCTGGAAATCTTACGATAGATCAAGTTTTCTTGCATTGTGCATTTTAATAAGAGTTTGTATTGCCGTTGCAATGCACCTAATTTGAATTTAAATACACGATAATTTGAAAAAAAGTAAAAACAAAAAACAAAAAACAAAAAACAAAAAACAAAGGAAAGAAATGGATTATAGCAGATGGTAAATTCCATGCAAGGCCGGCATCTTCTCCATATTCCACACTCTCTCCTGCCGTCTACTGTAATTTGATTCCGACTTAGTCCTCGTCGACGACATCGTCAAGAACCCAAGGTGAAGGTGGGAGGGAAGGGAGCTATAATTACAGAAAAGAGAAGGTTTAATTTTCAGAGGGAAGAGATGATCTCTTTAAAATATAAAACGGTGCAAAGAAGAGAAACAGGAAAAGGGAAGTGATTGAGTTTTGATTTGCAATGCTACAAAAAAATATATTAAAGATATATTTTAGCATGTAGGATGACTTAGTATTAACTCATGATAAGTCATGGATGATCGAAATAAAATTATAAATGATGAAAAGTTTAGAAATTGAATTATATGTGAGTTAAAGGTTCAAAATTTTGAAGATCAAAAGATTAATCTACTCTACATTAATTTACTACTTTTTGTTTTTAAAAAAAAAGAATTAGATCATGGGCTTCACGAAGATTAAAAATTTGTACTGTTCACAGTTTTGTTCACAATGTGACTTGGGAGATGTATATCCAATTTACCTCTACCAAAAATATATTTAAGGGATCCAATTATTTGTTAAATTTAATAAAAATATATTTTAAATGTAATTTGAATGTACTTTTAAAATTACTCAAACAAGCTTGTATATTCTTTTGTCCACAGGCTTTCAATTTCTAGTTTTGATGATATTCTATGATAGTTAGAGCTAGGACCCTAGGTGGGGAATAATATTTTAAAAAAATTAATAATTTTAAAATAATTAAAATTAAAATTAATTAATTGTATATTTGTTATGTTACCGGGTTTTGAATTTAAGAGTTGAAAAACTTAGACATGAGTTTGAAAAAAGAATCAGATAAATTTAATGTTCAAAATATTAAAAAGATAAGGCAGTGACAGATCTAGCTTTTTTTTTTTTTTATAGGCCAAATTTTCTTCTTTTTCTTCTACTCAGGGCAATTATTTTTTTATAACTTCTTTTAAACATGACTTACCAATGATTAGATAAATGAAAATAAAATTTAAAATATCGAAGAGAAGTTAGTAAACTTAAATTTTAATCGTAAGATATGTCTATATATTTTTTTAATACAAAGTTAGATATGCTTTTCTATCCACTATAGTTAAGAAATGTCCAACAGTATTAACAGTTTAAGAGTATATTGACTATCTTATTATATTTCATATTAATATGGATATTTCATTTTAAAATAAAACTAAATAAATAATCAAGAACTATTTACTTTTATTTCATTTTAGTGGAATTCCACTTGTAATTGTTTTCTTCACTGAAATGGAGGCTAGAGAGAAAAAAGAAAGCCCCTAGAGTGGGCAAAGAATCAGGAGCTCAGCTTTGATCGTTTAATCAACAAAAAAAGTAGATCTCAACTTTCTCTATCACCATACTTCACCATAAAAGCCATCCATATTGGTGCGTTTCTTCTCCTCCATTTCCTCGTTTCATTCATACAATTCTATATTCTGTGAACTTGGGACCATAATCAGTAATAATAACTTTGCCATTGAAATGAAAATTACTTATTCAGGGGGCTTCATTTCATCATCATTTAGGTTTGATACACACGGGTTTGTTGATGACGATTTCTTTGGTTATCTCATTTTCTGGGTTGAAATGTTCTGAATTAAGATGTGTCATACAACATTGCCCTTTACAAATCTGAATCCTTTCGCCGGACCTTTTCTTTTTTGGGGAGGTTTCTCTGCTTATATCTGATTGCATTGAGATGCTATAATAGAAACTTTAGTACCGTTTATTTTCCAGTTCAAAATGATCTGCTTTTTTATTTAAAAAAAATTAATTGCCTGATATCTTGAGAAACCTGAGTATTATCACCACTTGCTTAGACTAATCCAAACCTCCACTGTGTGGCACTGTTATTATCAATGATGGCCTTACGTGTATCATGGGGATGTCTTTGATATATTTATTTAATCTAACTATTTATCTTAAAACTTGAATTCAAGACCTCAAGATAAGTTGATTCAACTCCTTTAACCAGTTAAACGCCCCTGGTGAAAACGATCTGCTTTGAAATACTTAATTTATGCTAATATGATTACAGTTTTATTGATAAAATCAACCAATGCTTCATTTTCATGTTATAGAAATTTATCTTTCATCAGGCAACCATGAAAGGCATCATTTCTCAACACAGGACAGGTTTGGTTCAATTAGTACAAGGTGATAAATTGTGCTTTGGTTTGAGATTGTTAAGCACTCAAACTAATCCACAGCCTCCTCCAGAGAAAACTCACTTTGGTGGCCTCAAAGATGAAGATAGGATTTTTACCAATTTATATGGTTTGCATGATCCTTTTCTCAAAGGTTCCATGAAAAGGGGTGATTGGCATAGGACCAAAGATTTGGTACTCAAAGGGACTGATTGGATTGTGGATGAAATCAAGAAGTCTGGCCTCCGTGGGCGTGGTGGTGCCGGTTTTCCCTCCGGCCTCAAATGGTCATTCATGCCCAAATCAACAGATGGCCGTCCCTCATATCTTGTTGTTAATGCTGATGAAAGTGAACCTGGGACTTGCAAAGATAGGGAAATCATGAGGCATGACCCACATAAACTGTTAGAAGGTTGTCTGATTGCTGGCGTGGGAATGAGGGCTAATGCTGCTTACATTTATATCAGAGGAGAATATGTAAATGAAAGAAAATCCTTGGAAAAAGCAAAGCAAGAAGCTTATGAGGCTGGATTATTAGGCAAGAATGCTTGTGGATCAGGATATGATTTTGATGTTCATATCCATTTTGGAGCTGGTGCATATATCTGTGGTGAAGAAACAGCTCTTTTAGAGAGCCTTGAAGGGAAACAGGGAAAGCCAAGATTGAAACCACCATTCCCTGCAAATGCAGGCTTGTATGGCTGTCCCACCACAGTTACTAATGTGGAAACTGTGGCAGTTTCTCCAACCATCTTAAGGCGTGGACCGGATTGGTTCGCCGGTTTTGGTAGGAAGAACAATTCTGGGACAAAATTGTTTTGTGTGTCTGGCCATGTGAACAAGCCCTGCACAGTTGAGGAAGAGATGAGCATACCATTGAAAGAGCTGATTGAGAGGCACTGTGGAGGTATTAGAGGAGGATGGGACAATTTACTGGCAATAATTCCTGGAGGATCATCAGTTCCACTGATTCCCAAGAGTGTTTGTGATGATGTTCTGATGGATTTCGATGCACTTAAGGCTGCAAATACAGCATTAGGGACAGCAGCAGTGATTGTGATGGATAAGTCAACTGATATCGTGGATGCCATTGCAAGGCTTTCTTACTTCTACAAGCATGAAAGCTGCGGACAGTGCACACCATGCAGGGAGGGAACAGGATGGCTATGGTTGATGATGGAGAGATTGAAATCCGGGAACGCAAAGCTCGAAGAAATTGATATGCTTCAAGAGCTTACTAAGCAAATTGAGGGACATACAATCTGTGCTTTGGGTGATGCTGCAGCATGGCCAGTGCAAGGTCTCATCAGACATTTTAGGCCAGAGCTTGAGAGAAGGATTAGAGAGCATGCAGAGAAGGAGTCAATGGAAGCAAATGCTTTAGCCTCTTTAAAATAAGATTGCTCATTGAATCTTTTCATCCCTGAGTTCTATTTTGAATTTGCTTGGTCTCAGTCTCAGTCTCAGGCACAAATGAATTAGGTATTTGCTTTTAGGCCAGACCTAGATAAAAAAAGGATTAGACATCATGCAGAGAAGGAGTCACTGGAGGCAAATGTTGCTTAACCTCTTTAAAATAAGGTTGTTTCCTTGGATCTTTTCCTCTCTTTGTTGTATTTTTTTATTTTTCTTGGAAAGAAGTGTCTTTGCGTGTTATCTGATTTCGTCTATTCTTAAGGCTGAAAATAGAGACAAAATATATATATATATATATATATATATAAGTACTTTGTATTTGCTTGATCAGAATATATGATTGGGTACTTACTTGTACTGGTAGGTTTTTTTTGATTTTTTTTCCCCTTGACTTTAGTTATTGGTGTTTGTAATATTTTTTTGTGTGATTAATAAAATTGACTGTTTGTGGCTCAAAAAAAAAAAATCCATGGTCAGGAACAAATGATAGGATGCTTGCTTTTGATTTTGTAGTTTAAACAATAGGTGTTGCCTCCAATTAACTATTTTCTAAAGAAATACTTAATGCAAAGCAAGATGTTGCAAAAAGTGGAAAACAACTTTT